TTTGCTAATCTACTTTTGCTACCATACTAACTTACTCAAAAATGAAAGAAAGTTACCTCCAAAGCTTAAATCCCATTCAAATGGGATAATATTATTATTATATCAAATGACAGGCGTCTTGATGGTTATCATTAGCCCTTTAGTTGACTTCAGGCTTCACAGAGCGGAAGATACATCAAAATGAGAAAAGGGGGAACAGAAGAGCGGTTCACAGATGTAAAAGAGACAGGCAGACACAATGCTAGAAAAAAGGTGAGGTGAGTACTATGGAAGTAGTCGAATATGACATATAGCGAGATGATAGTAGTTTGAAGTGAGAAGTCAACTGCCGGTTAATAGATTTTTTTGCCGTATGTGTATACGTCGATCATGTGTAATAGGATAATATAACGTTAATCATTTGAATCTAACCAAAAGCGATTTGATTTTCAATGGATAAAAGACTGGTTCCGAGTTGTAATGAGGCAATTTGCAGATATCAAATCACGACATTAAAACTGCTTTATGAACCTAACTTTATTAAGCTAGAAACTTAAAGGAAGCGTCAAAAGCACACGCGCAAGTGCTTTGGGTAAATCTGCGATTGTAATCTGATTGTGCTTAAGAGGAAAAGTAGCATTTGCCATGGGTATGTTATTTCCCATTCTATTTTGAGCAGATTTGCAGCAGACAATAATTACCCTCTGATGATTAAAATGACATAGACATAATTATCGATATTTACGATTGTTTGTTCAAGCAAATGTCTCTTTCGTTTAGGGATATAATATGATTTTGAAAAGGTGAACCATTCATAAAAGGCAACCATTTCTTCAAAAAAGGATCGTTTAGCAGTTTCGTGAACTGTGTAAATAGTAGTGAGAAAGGTTTAATTTTTTGTCCAAAGACAGCTGACTCAAATTATAATTTATTATTTATTATTTAGGGTGTCATGCTTAATGCCAGGACATTTACTGAATTTCCGGAACTTCTGCATTCATCTATTTTCATAGGCTCTTTTACTTTTCACCCTTTCGACTTCATCAGCGTTTCCGTTTAATACAAATTATCTACACATAATCACCATGCTTTGGGCAAATGCATAAGTTTATCATCTACGGTGAATTTCTTTCAACAATAAATGAGCAAGATTTTTCGCGAATTATCGACACTATGTCACCGCCCTGCTACTTCTTCTAAGATAGATAATGTTTTGCTACGCGCCCATCCGTGTAGGGTTGAAATTTGAGGGGAGAGCCAAGTGGGTGTGCGATAGACTTACCTCCACGTGGTGCACCCTGGAAAACGTATCTTCGCCCGGCAAAAAAGTCTACCACTAGGCATTTGATTTGACTTCGATNTTTCAACAATAAATGAGCAAGATTTTTCGCGAATTATCGACACTATGTCACCGCCCTGCTACTTCTTCTAAGATAGATAATGTTTTGCTACGCGGGGTGTGCGATAGACTTACCTCCACGTGGTGCACCCTGGAAAACGTATCTTCGTACGGCAACAAAGTCTATCACTTGGGATTTGATTTGATTTGATTTGAATTCGATTAATTATGATTAGCTTGGAAAAAGGCTATAAGAGAAATTGCTCTCGTCAGGGCGAATTACAACGTCTTCAGATCCTCCAGTGGAATGCTGGAGGGATATCACAGGACAAGAAGATCCAAGTACAGAAAATTCTACAAACCTTTGATGTGGACATATTCACAATTATGGAAGCAAACATTTCGGATGAAAAACAACCAATTCCCAGGTTACACCCTGTACCTTCTACCTAAATAAAGCCCAGGTTACACCCTGTACCTTCTACCTAAATACCGGCAATTTGCAAGTGGAATTTGTAAAAGAAGGCCTCACCTCACACTACGATAGACTGGAGTAATAAAGATGGACTCACCTCACACTACGACCTATTCAGAATATGGGGCTCGACGCAAGACATATGCGAAATAATCAGATTAAATATTTGGGAATGGCTCGACACAAGACATATGTGAAATAATCAGATTAAATGTTTGGAAATATCACTTCAAGGTATATGCAGTCTATAATCCACCCCAGAATCGTTTCAAGATATATGCAGTCTATAATCCTCCCCAGAATTGTCGAAACTTTGACTTTCTGAACATCTCACACAAATACTCTCTCACTTCAAGGTATATGCAGTCTATAATCCACCCCAGAATCGTTTCAAGATATATGCAGTCTATAATCCTCCCCAGAATTGTCGAAAATTGACTTTCTGAACATCTCACACAAAACTATGGTATTAGGAAAATGCAGTCTATAATCCACCCCAGAATTGTCCAAAATTTGACATAAATATTTAGAAATGTCAAAACCACTTCAAGATATATGCAACGTTTGGAAATGTCAAAACCACTTCAAGGTATATGCAGTCTGTTCTGAACATCTTCACCTCAATTGTCCCAACTTTGACTTTCTGAACATCTCACGCAAAACATAACAGGAGACTTCAACGCCCACGCCACCCCAGAATTGTCCAAACTTTGACTTTCTGAACATCGTCCACAGGGCTACAAGGATACAAACATAGCTGAAAAGGAAATTGAAACTACAAGGATACAAACATAGCTGGAAAGGAAATTGAAGACGACAAGGCTACAAACATAGTTGGAAAGGAAATTGAAGACATGCTAAACAGCAGAACTCTGGAACTTCGGAAATTGAAGACGTGCTAAACAGCAACCCTCTGGAACTTATTTACAGCAATGAGGATCCGGCTACATATTTGCACTACAATAAAAACAGAACCACTCCTAACTTACTCCTGGTTTCAAGCAACATCAGTGAGCATACACGTTTTCCTCTTGGCTTCAAGCGACATCAGTGAGCATACTCGCGACTTGCTCCTGGCTTCAAGCGACATCAGTGAGCATACACGCCGTATTTCCTCTTGGCTTCAAGCGACATCAGCGAGCATACACGCCGCACCTGGTTCTGGTCACAAACCAGTCATTGCTAGTATTACCTTTGGTCTTCTAGTCACAAACCAGTCATTGCTAGTATTACCATCGGCGGCATAAAGCAAGTAACCGGTCATTGCTAGTATTACCATCGGCAGCAAAAGCATGACATGGAAAGTGCAACTAAGCTATCATGGGACTTCAAGAAGCCTGACTGGTCTAGATTCACTAACCTTTTAGACAATGGAAGTCCCCTCAACTTCAACCAACATCCTGACAAACTTTGCGATCGTCCCCTCAACTTCAACCAACATCCTGACAAACTTTGCATCGATATGATTCACTAATCTTTTAGACAATGAACTTCACACAAGTCCCCCCACAAACCTTTTGGAGAATGAACTTCACACAAGTCCCCACGAACCAAAACCACCATCCTGACAAACTTTGCAATGATATTACGAATATCATGATCAGATGTGCAAAAAAAACTATTCCCCGAGGCAAGATATGATCAGATGTGCAAAGAAAACTATTCCCCGAGGCAAATATAAACACTATCGAGTGTTTTGGTCTAGGCACCTTGAGGAAGCCTATCGAGTGTTTTGATCTAAACACCTTGAGGAACTGAAATGAGTGTTTTGGTCTAAACACCTTGAGGAACTGGAAAGATAGTGTTTTGGTCTAAACACCTTGAGGAACTAAAAAGAAAGCTGTTTTGGTCCAAACACCTTGAGGAACTGAAAAGAAAGAGAACTATTCCCCGAGGCAAAACTAAACACTATCGAGTGTTATATCTAAACACCTTGAGGAACTGAAAAGAAAGCGGGACGCTCAACGCAACAATGCAGATCAGACTGGAAG